ACACCAAAGATCCACAAGCAGGGAGCTCCGTTGCGACCCATAGTAGACAGCATAGGATCAGTAACATACAACCTGTCCAAATCTCTCGCATGAAATCTTACAACCCCTTCTGGGACAAACAAACAAGCACTGCAAGAACTCAAAACAGTTAGCCCAAGAACTCAAGAACACCAAAGTAGAGGCAGATGAAATTTTCATATCGCACGACGTGGTTTCTTTTATTTACTCGACGCCTGTAGACGCCACTTTAAACATAGTGGAAAACAGATTGGAAACTGACAGATCACTGAAAAAGCGCACAAATCTCTCAGTTCACGACATATCAGAGCTGCTAAGGTTCATCGCCACATCCACTTATTTCAAATTCCGCAATATAATATTTAGGCAAAAAGAAGGATTCCCCATGGGTGACCCACTGTCTGCCATCATGTCTGGTTTTTTCATGGAGGACCTAAAACGAGGGCCATAGCATCGGCACTGAAAGTAATCGCCCCACGCTCTGGAAAAGATCGTGGACAACATCTTAGAAAAAAAATAAAATCAGGACATACGCAAACAACTTACAGATCATTTAAACAGTATGGACCGCACTGGGAAAATACAATTCACGATGAAGAAGAGACAGATAAAACCATAGCGTTTCTGGACATAAATATACATCACACTAATGAAGGAGACATTAAAATTAAAATATACAGAAAGCCCACTCACACTGATCAATACCTGCTTTGGTCATCTGAACACCCCATAAATCACAAACTTTCCGTGGTAAGAACCCTGTTTGATCGTGCATCCATCATCACAGAAGACACAGACAGAAAAAAGGAAGAAGAACATATAACTAACGCACTAAAGAAATGCCAGTACCCACTATGGGCCATAAACACAGGAAAACTACAGGTACAGCAGAAGCAAAATACCGGCACATTCAGAAAGAAACGAAAAAATGAAACCAAAACCAAAGGAGTCATCACGTTACCATACATAAGAGGCGTCACAGAGCGGATTCAACGGGCCATGAGAAAATTCCACATCAACACCCGGTAAAACCATACATAAAATTACGACAACTACTGGTACACCGAAAGACCAAATTGACAATTGTAACAAATGTGACGTCATATATGAAATCCCTTGCCGGTCTTGCCATAAAACATACATTGGGGAAACAGGTAGACCTTTTCACACACGTAAAAAAGAACACCAAAAAGAATGCGAGAAAGAGACAACAGTAAGACAGACACGCTCAGTTAAAGAACAAGCACTACAGGTAAACCTTAAATCAGCAATCACAGACCATTGCAAGAGGGAAAATCATATTATGGACTGGGACAAGGCCAAAATTATCCGCACTCAGAACAACCGACATGAACGCTGGATCATGGAGGCAATTGAAATCAGGAAGCGCGCCCACAGGACTATGAACCGGGACGAGGGGGCATACATGCTTTCCCACACCTGGAGTGCCATCTTGGAGGAGCGGCCGGATGGCAGGAGGCGTGGCCGCCCTGTCAAATCTGACAGGGCGGCCACGCCTCGCTAACATCAGCTGATAAGACACGTCACTCGTAACATCAGTGACTCTTCTGAAGAAGACGGGAGTATTCCGTCGAAACATGTCAAGGTAGGATAAAACCTTCTCTGTCGGAAAATAAGAACGTCAAGGCTAATTAGTTACTACAGACAGTATGAACCTTTTTGGACTATCCACTATTTTTGTTGTAGCTACGTAAAATTTACAGCGTGTATGTTCTGGATAATCAGCTTGCAGAACATTAAAGGTGGATGACCTTGACCTGGTTAATGGGGTCAAAAGGTCACATTGTTTCTGAACAGTGTTACTTTCATTACGCCTTTGCACTACCATGACATTTTTTGGTGTAGCTATGTCAAATTCATAAAATGTACTCACTCGATAATCAAGTTGGATGACATGGAACCTACATGGCCTTCACCTACTTTAAATACCTTCTAATAACAATTTCATGTAGCAACATTATCAACCAAACTGTTCAGTCACTTTCAACATAACATCAAATTTTCATGACTGCGCATCATGTCAGGCTTCATATTCTGAACGCCAAACTATGTGAAGTCCCAGCTGTCCTGTTCCACTCTTTCCATATAACCTGCCAGGTCCTAGATGAAACTGGAAAATTACCTCTGTCTTCCTTTTCACTCTTGAAACGTCTCTCAAGCCCAAAAGTATTAAACACATTGGGCTCTAAATTCGTAGACCAGGCGCAGGCGCGGCGCAGGCGCGGCGAATGGGGGATGCGCCGCCAACGGGGTGTGTCCAGGCGTATGTTGCAATTTCGTGCCCGGTGCAGCCTGGCGCAAGTACTCCTCTGTCCCGCCTCTGTCCCTCCTGCCGGCGCAAGTGGCAAAGAAGGCGTGTTTGGGTATAACACAGCCGAGTCAAATATTCACCAATCAAATGAGCTCCTCTCCTCACCTTTAATGTGTTGGAATATAGAAGCCTCTGTCCTATATCTGCATGATGCGTTAATGTTGCATTTTACTTTGCTGCTTCAGGCATGTTTTCTGCACCGCTTACGTCTATATTAAGCATTACTTAATATGAGTTAGCTGGCTAGCTAGGGCATTCGCGAATTATTACCATTAGCGAACTTGAATGGAATTTCAAAACGAAACTAGGTCAGATCATTCAAACTTATGAAGTTGGGATGAAATACGACGGTTGTTCATTTATTTCTTCTGCCTGCATCATTGGGAAGAGAAACGATGGATAGTGTGTTCCTATTATTACACCCTGTTGCTGCTTAAAATTTTGGGATTAACATGCATGGACAACAATGCAAGATACGTTACATATTTATTTTCACTATGTGATCTTAACTCAGTACGAGATCATAGCAATCAGGCTGTATTCCTTTCCCCCACTAAAAACGATAAAACCTAAGTGACAGTAAAAGTAGCCTTGTATTAAGCCACTTGCACACTGGACGCGAAACGAATTTTTCGCACGACCGATCGCGTTGAACGCAGTGTCTACGAGTCCGAAAGTCTGACAGGGTCTTAATTTATCTCTGTGTCCGACAGTCGATTATTGTTTTTAATTTCTTCAAATCTACTGAATGTTTTAGATATTAAACGTGAATGTTTTGATAAGAGGGCTCAGTTCTTCAAGATGAGTACCGAGAATTTCAATCAATGTTTCTGTTTAAGCTCTGCTCAATAAAGTGAGTCGACATTGGCACGGGGCAATGTACAATGCCTGTCGGACATTAAATGCAAAATACTCCGTGTCTGACAGCCAAAAAAAAAAAAAAAAAAAAAAAAAAAGAGGACGATTAGAACAGATTGATAACGAAATAAAGAATAAAAAGAAACATTTTAACAACAAACAGAACATCCAATGAACACTGCGATTTATTTAGTTGCGCGCCATCTTTTTTGGATGTTCTATTTGTTGGTGATATATTGTTATTCTTTATTTCGTTATAAATCGGTTCTCATATCAATACTTTTACTTTTTGCTGGCTGCTGGACATGGAGTATTTTGCATTTCGCCTCGGACAGTCTTGATCGTGCATGCGATAATTTATTCACACTGTCAATGGTCATGGAATTGATTTGCTCACTGACTACAAGCACTATTTTATCTCTGGTGTGGAAATAAAGCGTGAATCTGTTCGATCCATCTGACTAATTTTCAAAAGAGAGACCGAATAAAGACTGTTGTCTATCTTCAACGGGAGAAAACACACGAATAAAAAGACCAAGAGAAGTCAATAGCTATCAATTTGCATTTTGTGGAGGTCGAACACAAACATGGCCAAGTTTGGACGTCTAATAATTCCTGGAATACTCGAAAAATTAGAACTTTTATGACTTTCGGACACGGAGATATATTAAAACCCTGTCCGACTTTCGCGTCTTTGCATTGACTTTGACTGTAATCAGTCGTGCGAAAAAATCATTTCGCGTCCAGTGTGCAAGCGGCTTTACTGAGCACAGAAGGCAAGCATTATATATAGGCAGTTTGTGGTTGGCTGAGAAAGATGTGAAGTCGTTGGTTTGCATCACAGATTCAGCTGCGTTGATTAAGCCAGGTCGAGTTTCCATTACGGCGTGCTAACCGCTTTTTTTAATCAGACATCAGGACAATCGATATAGATATTATAATTTATGTCCTGATTCAGATAGTTACATTAAATAGTGGTTGCTGTAATTATTTATTGTATTGAAATGTGCCTGACATTCTGGAAACCTGCCGGTGAGGTTTCGGTGACGTGTGCGCACTGTGCGCCGGTCAGCCAAATGACCACTGCACAGAAAGTAAACCAGGTTGGAGCTGGCGAGCTTTCTGCGCAACTTCAGCGAAGACTTTTTCACTGAAATTGTCACTGCGTCTTGATGAATATGTGACACCTCCGCCTACTACGCCGCCACACCCATCTCGGCGCACGTCTGTCTACCAAATTGCCAAAGTGGCGCGCACGGTGTTGCACCGCACGAAATTACCACTGCGCGGGCTGCACCGGACGAAATTACCACTGCGTGGGCTGCGCCACGCTACGCCACGCTGCGCCACCCTGCGCTGCGCCAAGAAATTAGAGCCCATTGTGTTACATAGGCATACTTTAAAAAACCCTTTATATGTTGTCATTCCTTCTCTTATGCCCATACGGCCGAGGGTACTTTAGCATTGCGTTCTATGTTACTTTTTCTGTGTTCCTGCCAGGCAATATTTCGCACAAAGAGTCAAAGAGCGCAGCAATGCGTGCAGCAATACAGTCGCTAAACCCGTTTCTTTTACAGTTGCTAAACTTGTTTCTCTTTGATATTTTTGCCATAATCATCCACTAAATATTCAACGGTAGTTTCCAAAGTAGTCTTTACAGCTGCGTCTGACTGAGAATCTATGCATCATTACTCGCAAGTACTGAAAGAGCGCAGCAATACAAGCACCAAGCCAGGGTGCATGTTGTGGTTTGCTGACTCATTGTTCAAATTTGCAATGAGGTAAATTTGCAATTCAGCTAGCTTAGTGGCTAAAGCGCTGCACTCTGATGTGAGAGATGCGGGTTCAAACCCTGGTTGTGTGTATGTTCATTTTGAGGTCTGGAAGTATAGTTCTTGTATAAATAATTGGTTGGGTGTTTGTTGTTTTTACTTTTTTCCATTTTTATCTTATCTTTGTTTTCCATAATTTTGTTTATTGCTTGTTTTTTTAAATAAATCTACCTCAGAGGAATCAAACTCTATTTCCTTTGTATTTTCTTTGAACAGGAAAATGTTTACAGGACTGGTTGCAAAAACATAACAATTTCAAAAATGAAAAAAAAAAAAATTTTTAAATGGTTGTAATTAGGTGGAATGTATGCCTGCAGTGACATATAAGTGAAATTAAATGAGTTTTACAGTTTGGTAGCTGAGAAACCTCTAATGGCACACAATGCTTGAAATGTGCCTAGATGGCTAATTTGGGGATGCTGCCTAGACATAGTTGCTTCTAAAAAAGAATCAAGAATGGTTGTATTTAGATGGAATGTATGCCTGTAGTGACATACAAGTGAAATAAAATGAGTTTTGGGTTTGGTACCTGAGAAATCTCATTTGGCACACAATGCCCAAAAAGATGCCCATGTTGCCAATTTGAGGATGCCACCGAGACATTCCTGAACTAAAACCTCTCTAATTTTGCTCTGATTATGTTGATTGGAATAAATTTTGGCGCAGGTAAAGGTGAAGTTTTGTGCTGTAATTCTTCAAGGTCACAGACTGCAACCACATAATTTTAAATGGGATATCTAAATAAATAAAATTTTGTTAGGTGGAAATGAAATATTTCATTTATATTGTGTTCCATCTTCATTTACTCTGACTCAGTGACATATATACTAATTTTTACACCAAAACAAAAATTCCCAAGGTGTTTCCCAGCGCATGAATTATACCACGGCCTAGCGGCAATTGCCGTGGTTGCCTCCCTGTGTGGCCGTAATACCTGACTACTCAAACGGCCAGTGCGGCCGTGGTGCCCAAAAATGACCCAAAGTGGTGATTTTCGACACAGCGACTGAGCTGGGCGGCTCCAGTCATCACGCTGCGCTGGATATCTGAGCACTTTGTGCGACTAACGGCACGCTCACTCACTCACGAATAAGGCAACGTTGTGTGAGGTTGGTATCCTACAGCGATACATCCTTCCGGCTTGAGAAAATCAGCTCAAATTATGTTTTAAGCACAAGCAATTAAATACTGTTGGTGTCAAGTATAGATGTGTTTTTGGGCTGGGTGAAAATGGTGGTTGTATAACTTTCCACGACAGAAACTAAACTTTGAGAGCGAGCTGGAGAGAGCATTCGCTTACAACGTTAGCCTGTGCAGTGCATCTCCTGCTGTGCCAGACTGCGCAGCAGTAGCGGTCCGTTGGCAGTAACAAAGACCATCGGAAACCTCATCTTTCAATGCTTGATAAACCAAAACCTCTCGCAGTTTACTTTTCCGGGTAGCAACAGTTGGTCAGACTAATTCGTTGAACTACGGCATTCTAATTTATTTTCGATAGAATTGTTATACATTGCACCATAAAATTGAAGCGTTTTCTTCCGCACATAAATGATGACGTAAAATATCAATATGTCTTAAAGGTGTTCAGAGAAGAAAAATGAATTTGATCCCACTATGGGTCTTAAAATTAGTGTAATCTCTCGTCTATCAGACAATGTAGCCCAAACTTCGTGCAAAATTCTATTTTCGAGTAAATCCCGGGTGAAAGTGGGGTAGTTTTTTTCGCATTGGATAATGCAGGCGCGCGAATTATGCATCACGTTGCACATGATTCATCAGCCAATGATATCAGGATCCGTCGTACGTCAATCAAATGGCTACCGACATTGCGATATAAAACTCTGAGAAAAACCGGGAAGCTTTGATAGCGAGTAGTGGTTTTTGCAGGAGTAAGTGGTTTCGAGTTTTAGTGAGCGGTTTCGTGGGTTGTGGAGAGTTAGTATCAGAGTTGCCAAGTCCGCTTATAATACGCGACTTTGGGCTTCTTTTTTCCTGAAGTTGCTTGAAAAAAATTAGGGTCGCGGGTTGCGGTTTTTTGGGCTTGTTTTTAAAAATATGGTTGCTTGTTAGAGAAGTGTAACAAGCGACCTAATTGTTATACATTTGTGGTTGCTGTTCCCCCGATTCATTGATTGACTCTATTTGCTCACAGCCTCACGACGAGTAATGTGAGAGATCCCGTCCTCCCTCCTAGCCCCTTGCTCAACTAAATAATTATAATAATAATTTCTGATTATTGGTTATGGATTGGTCTTGATTGTTCTGTCGATAAATTGCTTCAAGTTGAATAAAAAATTTAATTTAAAAAATAAAATATTGGTTTTCAATGTGCTCCTAATTATTTATTTATACTGTTTTATCTACATACAATGGCCCTCATTTATCAAACTTGCGTAGGATCTGGTGTAGATTCTGGTGTAAATATCATTGTTTGCCAGGTGTCACGTCTGATTTACTAAAAGTGTGTACGTCGCAGATTTCGGTGAATAACTGGCGTGGCGTTGATAAATCTGGCGGCTGAAACCATCATAATTTACATGACACGCCCCTATAAATTCATGCTCCGGGAGGCATGGTCCTGCCCAGTTTACGACATGGACTCTCGAAAGACAGCAAAGAGGAGGAAATATAAATTATCATGTCTGAGGTGGAGAAAAACAAAATAATTTTATTTGGGAGACTTAAGAGTGGCATAAAGGGAGCCCAGAAGGCTGCAGTTTGGAAAACTATTGCTGCTGCAGTAAACACCGTTGGGGTGGAAAACCGGAGTGCAGCAGAGGTTTGATTTCATTCATTAATAAATCGAAGTGACTATTCGCACTTATTTAAGTGCGTCCAAGTACAAAAATTGATCGAAATTCGCTTTAGATGCACTTATAAGTGTGGCCAAGATGCACAATTCTCCATTATTTTAAGTGTGTCCAAAGCTAAAATATTTTTTCTTGGCCAAACTTATTTTAAGTGGTACTTTATAAGTGGCACTGGAATGGTCATCAACTGGCGCACTTGGCCAAGAAAAAAGTTCAGCATTGGCCACACGTATAAGTGCGAATAACATCGGCCTTAAAGGTGCACTATGCAAGTTTGTTGACATCACTTCTGTTGACATTCGAATTCAAACATAACAGAGGTAGCCCGCCCCTCCCTCCCATAGTTCCCTCCCTCCCATGCTTCCGTAACTGTCAACTCTTGTTGGCGATTGGCCAGAACGATTTGTTATGTTATGGGGCACAGCCTGTGCCCCTTGTGATTATCTCCAGTTTGTGAAGCCTGTGCGATCTCCAAAGCCCGGGTTTTTTTTACAGTGAATTTAGGGGCAGGCAGCTACCGGATCGTGGAGAGGTGTTGGCGAATTGAGACAAAAATATAATCTCGCAGAAGATAAACAAACTTGCATAGTGCACCTTTAATAAATTCAATTATAGATCAATGATATTTCATGTTATATAGCCTACATAACTGACAATCCAAATGTTTTACATGTAGGTAAAAAAAGTGGTCCGATTTTAAGATCGCCACCAAAAAAAAAAACGGGTTGCTGCGCTCAAGTGCAGCAGCGCACGGACCGGTGGAGGCCAACCAGACTCAAACCTCCAGCTGTCACCGTTCGAGGAGCGCATGGCAGCACTGATGGGCTCCCCGTGCATCGTGGGAATGCGAGGCGGTGGGGACACGGATGAGTCGCAAGTTAGCTAGTTAGTTAATGTACTCTTATGGTTACTCGGTCAAAGTGACCGCAAAATAAAGAAAAGTTTGATGAAACGCATGTAAATGTGCACGCGCTAGTAATACATTTGATTTTCTAAAATAATTACGCGCAAACTTATTTTCCAGTCTGCCTTTAATTAACTTGCGTTTCTTTTGTTGTTCAGTATATATCTGACTGGATGAGCATCTGACATACCACACTGCATATCTGCCAAGCCACGCCTTGCGCTTAATCAAGTTGATTGTAATTGTCAGCCGTCTGGCCTGACAAGCAGGTTGTCTCAAAATATAAGTTGAATTAATTTCTCAAAACAAGTGTCTTATTTATTTACTTAGCCTATTTATTCATTTTACTAATAAGAGCAACAACAGCATGATGTCTGCATTGCTGCATATGGTTTATTAATCATTTAGACTGCTGCACTCGTATGCTAGTTTCAAATCTGCATACGCCTGGTCAGACCTGGCGTGAGATTTTGCGGAACATTTGCTCACGTTCAGATTGATAAATGCCGATACTTGCGGGAGATTTGGCGAACACCCATTTTTTTGGTGCACGCATGTTTGATAAATGACGGCCAGTGTCATTATCACTTATTTTTCTAGCAAAATTGATTAATTTAGTTTTGGCCTTGGTGCCCTACATTTTGGCCGTGATGCCCCAAATTTAAAAGGCCAAGTGGCCTTGCCCTAAAAATAACTTAATTTGAGGCCTGGTTTCCTTTACTATGATACTAAGATTTTTCAAATAGACCAAGAGATATATACAAATTTCTGGGCATGTCATTTTCGAGCATTTTCTTAGCCAGAGGCTCAGGGTGGAAGAGGTTAAACTCTGAAGTTAAATAAATAACATTGTATTTCTGAGCTACATTAAAGTCACATGATTTTCACAATATGGCTTGGAAATACTAAGTACTCCAACAGACAACGGCATACACCAAAACTTCTAATGAATTCATTGTTTATTTTTGTGTTGAGACATTGGTTTTGTAATTGACTCCATTTTTCATGTGATCAGACTTAATTGTTGAATGAACACGTGTATGAGAGAGAACAGACCAGTTGGTTAGATGCACGCGTCTCCCACTGCTGTCATCATGACAACAGACAGGCTAAAGTTCCACAGCATATGGCAGGTTTACCAGTGTTCGTATCGTAACACGATGGCTGGACAGATTTATGTTGCACATGTAAAGCTGTAATAAATGGCGAATATACGGGCCTACCGTGCGCACGCAAATTTTATTATAGCTTATTACTAGCTGCAGAATTTTGTGTGAACGGTGACCATTCGCGTGAAGTTGAGTTTGCCTAACCTTC